CTAGGTTTCCCCTATTCTACTATTACTATCAGTATACTGCTTGTATTTGCTTGACTGTGTGGTGTGCCCTCTCTAGGGTTATTTCATCCGTTTGTGTGGGGTATTGGGTTTGCTTGGGGATTGGTTGAGCTGAAGACTGTGATGATGAAGTCCATTGGAGATCAGAGAGAATGAAGACCAACTTCCAGAGTTGATGAGGAGTATCCCTTGCTGGCAGCTGTTGAAGGCTATAGGGTTTAGGAGCTAGGCAGAGCTCTAGAGTAGAAAACTTGATTCACAAATATGGAAGGTCTTGTCTGCCTCCATTCTTTCTCTATGATTCAAAGTCTCTTTCAAATATCCACCTCCTTCCTTTGGAAGGATTAGTGAATGTATTTGAAAGATAGAACTTTTGAGGGAAAATTGTCTGTATAATGTTAACAGTTAATGAGCCACCCTTGGTAGGCAATCGACTGCTTAGCATTCATTTCATCTTGTTGACTGATATTCATCCTGGAGATTGAGACTTGAAGAAAAGCCATTGCAGATTGAAGACTGATAATAAAGACCTTGCTTGAAGGTTTGAAGATGAAAACTGAGGCTTGCTTGAAGCTGGAGGACAGATGATGATGACTTGAAGACAGATGTTGATGCAGAGCTGCTGTGGCTGTTTATTTTTGCTGTTTTATTTCTTGATGTATTGATTGGTTTTCCCTGACTGTATTATTTGCTGTTTAACCTGTTAGGTTGAAAGTGAATTCTGTTCACTTTTGCCTATTGTTTTCTAGGTTCGAGGTTGAGTGGGTCTCCCTTGCCTCGCTTGTATTGTTGCATCCATGCATTTTACTGCTTTATTGTATATATGCTATTGTTTCTGTTTCCGTTTATCCCTTAGGATCTCTGTTTCTCTCTGCGCAAGAGAGGAGCATGATAGACATTAGGTCTTAACCCATGCATGATAACATTAGGATAGTTTGATCCCCTTCGCAACCATAGGTTAGAGTTCTGTCTCTTCTTTCTCAAAACAAACAGAAAAACACAATAAATATTTCAAACACAATAAAAGACACTTCTTCCGTAAAAGAATGTGAACTCATCAAAACGTCATTTTTGTCCGCTTGGACCAGTAATCAGAAAACCCTTTTTCAGAAGGAATAAAAATAATAAAGACAGACTTGTGTCGTACGTGGCCCGAACTACGTTTGCTCTGATCTTTCATGCTGTATGAAAGTACGTAGGCATAGGATGCGATGTCCTAGCGAGCAACCTTCCCCTCCTTTCCCGTAGGTAGGCGAACTACGTTGACTCTGATTTCTCGTTCCAGACGGGAATACGTAGGCATAAAGTGCGATACTTTGCCGAGTCATTTTATTTTTCCTTTTAACCCTTAACCCTGTAGAGTAGATAGAATAACAATCCATACCCGAAAACAAGCGTGGATCCTGTCGAGTACGACGGACGTGAGGGGTGCTAATACCTTCCCCTTGCGTAACCGACTCCCGAATCCAGGATTTGGTTGCGATGACCATTCCTTTCCCCGTTTTGCGGTAGGTTTACCTCGAGCGTTTCCTTTCCCTCCGTTGGGATAAATAACGCACGGTGGCGACTCTTCTGTTCAGCCGGCGCCGATTTTCGCAGTAGCGACACCATAAACTTGAAGAAGAAGTCAAATAGCTAAATAATGTGAGTTTCATCCTTCCTTCTTGCAAGTTGCTTCGTGTTCCTCCTTCGTTTTTCTTGCATTTTTGGGGTACTATAAGCGTTTAGTCAATAACAATAGTTGATGGCGTTTTTTCACATTCACTAAAGAATAATTTGACGATAAATAAATAATATTGAACGAGTTAAGGATGAAACAATATGACAGTTCTTTTCATTAATGTAGATGAAAAAATGTTAGGGTTTATATGGTTTCCCGGGGCTAAGTATGTGTTTCTTTTTGTAAGTCAATGACAACTGAATATACATTATTAACTAACCTGTGTTTCTTGAATAAGAATAAAATATTTCGCCGGTTTTTGACCATTTAAAAATAAATAAAAACAAAGAAAATGTATCACCACAGCTGGTTTAAACAACCGTAGTGAAATCTGGATAAATTTTAGATTAAAAAAAATCAAAATGAAAGGCGTCACTATAAAAAAGAAGAGGTAAAACATATCACCGCGATTGGTATATCTAACCGTAGTGAAATCATGATTATATTTAATTTAAAAATAAATAAAAAAGAAAGGAGTTGAAATTCACAAATTTCTTGATACTGAGATTCAAACCTATATAAGATTTACTAAATGTCACCACGATTTCTATGACCAACTATTGTAATATATTAACTATTTTTAATTAAAAATGATGACGCATGATTTTATAGATATCACCATGGTCCTTCAAACAACTGTGATAAAATGAGCGTCGTAATATATACTTTTTATAGTAGTGGAGCACTCATGACTTTTAATTCATCCAAAAGTTGAACCACCTCCATTTCGTCAGGCGTGTGGTAGTTAAAGTCATACCCTGTGATCGACATTGGATTATGTATCTAAAACATATGAAAGTGAGGGGCTATATGTATCCCAATAGTTACCATAAAGGCATTGTCTCACCCCTTAATTCTTATGAACTTGTCTTTCTAATTTGTGTAATGATTCAAATATGACTTGAACATGGATCCTCCAGGCAAGGCACATAAGGTTACATTGACGCCTTTAATACCCACTTCAGTATCATAAAACTAGAAGAACATATATATGGTATGATGGACCTCCACCCATCGACATGTGATTCTGAACGCCCGAATCAAACTCCACCCATTAGGCAAGATATAAGACGGGCAACGTTGATCTCCTTTGGAACCTATGCCTCAAATGGGGAAAATGAGACTATAACCCTTATGTTACAAACAACATGGAGGTGTAAGTAGAAATGAGAGTCAGGAAAATCGTCTAAGGGCGGTCATATTGTTCATCTCTACCGAAGAGCACGCCTCTAGGATAACTTTTTCGTCATCACCTAAAGAGGATAGTTTGGCTTGTTAGAAAAATGAGGATATCTTTTCCTCAATAATGTAATAGGTCTCAAAATCATATGTGTCTTTGTGCTCAGGATCATATGCAGCCATTAGTTTCTTGTAGTGGAACTCTTGCAACTATCGAACATGCGTAAATCCATTAATTCGTAGTCAACCATCCCACCAAGACATTTGTCATTTGTGAGATATTGGATCAAACTCTAGTATGGTCGAAGGGTAGCTTCTGGTTCGACAGGAATTAAGCATGAGGTCAAAGTATGTTCGCATGCTGCTGTCGGAGTAATGCGTGTTGTAGTCGAAGTTTATTCTAACATGCATTAGTCAATATTGCTAGGGTTGTTAGCATGTTGAATTGGTCCTTGCTTATAAGCCCAATTGTTTAAGTTAGCTTGTACCCTAAGTTAGCTTGTAATGGGTAATTGTTAAAAAGCCCATTAGGTTAGTGTGCTATTTTTCTTATAAATAGGATGCTAGTTTCTCAATCTTGGCATAAGGAAAAATAGGAAGATAAAATCCTAATTTCAAGAGAGAGAGGTTATTTTGTTATTCTTGTATACTTGTAATCTTGAAGATGAAATCCCTATTGGTTCAACAGAGTTGTTTGGAAGCGTTGAAGGGTGAGGCAGCCATGGACGATGCGTTAACGACAAAAGAAAAGACGAGCATGATCGAGAAAGCCCACAACGCAATATTGTTGAGCCTTGGTGATAAGGTTCTTCGACAGGTACCAAAGGAGACTACAACATCAGGATTATGGGTGAAACTTGAAAGTTTGTACATGATCAAATCTCTGGTGAATCGATTCTACCTGAAGCAAGCTTTGTATTCATTCAAGATGAGTGAAGACAAAGTGTTGACTGAGTAGTTGGATATGTTCAACAAGCTGATTCTTGATCTTGAAAATATTAATGTGAAGATCGATGATGAAGATTAAACACTGTTGCTGCTGTGTGCTTTGCCCAGAACACATGCTCACTTCAAAGAAACTCTCTTGTATGGAAGGGAGTCCCTGACCTTTGAAGAAGTTCAATCAGCCTTGTATTCTAAGGACTTGAACGAAAGGAGCATAAACCTTCGAATGTGGGTGAAGGTTTGACCGTTAAGGGAAATTTTTTGAGAAAGGATGGTAAGTTCGACAAAAAGAAAGGTAAAAGTTAACATAAATTTTATAGTGGCGAATTATCTGGTATTCGATGTTATCACTGTAAGAAGGAGGGTCAGACAAGAAAGGTGTGCCCTGAACGCCTGAAAGATCATGAAAGTAATGACAACACATACATTGTTCAAGATGACTTGACTCATCTGATGTTCTTGTGGTTTCAAGTGGTGACTCGAGAAAAATAGTGGATTATGGATTCAGGTTGCATTTGACACATGAATCCACACAAAGACTTTTTATGATAATTTTGCATAAAAAACTCTAAATTTTTGATACTGATTGAAATTTTTTAATAAAAACTTATATATTTCTAAAGTTTCTAAAAAATTTATCCAAAAATATAACAGTAAAATTACTCTAAATAAGTGAACCAGATATAAGTGGAAGATGTTAAAGGAAATCCTCCATAAATACACCCCTGATTACATTTCTCAAATTTATATAGAAATAGTTATACAAATAAATATATTAAGATAATATATTTCATTTAAATGTATTAGTATACTTTTTTATATACACAATTTTTATTAAAGAATTTATAAGAAGAGAGAGAATGAGAGTGGAACAAAAATACCAAATAGAATATTATTTTAGAAAAACAATATACACGTGTCTACACATTAAATATTAAAAACTTGTTAAATTCCTCCTGTAATAATGGCTTATTTGGGAACCGTACCAGCCATCAAAAACCCAATGAAAAAAAAGGTTTGCATTGTATTGACTATTGACTTATGATCTTCTCTCTTCTTCTCCCTTTCTTCTTCCTTCAAACCGCTCACTTTCTTAACCATTAAGCAAAATTCGAACTTCAATTCAAAACAAAAACAAATGAATTTCGAAACTCTCCATTCAATCTTAGCAAAATCACTCACCATCATTGCCTGGTACGCTAACTAACTCTTCTATTTCTTTTCTTTTTATCGAAAATGCCTTAACGTTAATGTCTGCACTTTCTTTTCTTTTTTCTCATGCAGGCCTCCGTTTAGCTTGCTCTGTCCCTTGTAAGTAAATTTATCGATTAATTTTTAGTTACTTTTAAGAAAAATAAGAGAATTTAGAATTAAGACTCTCAAATTTTTTATGGTGTTTTGTTTTGTTTTATTTTGTTGTAGATACGCTTCTTTTAGGGCGTTGGAGAGTGATTGCCGTTCCAATAATCAGCGATGTCTTGCTTTTTGGGTTCTCTTTTCTTTCTCTATGATCATCGAATCTCATTTTCCACTCTTATTTAACTGGTAATTTCACTTTTAGCACTATATACCTGGGTGTTTCTGCAATTTTAAAATATTTACGGACTGTTCCGTTAAGACAGCTCAGTTCAGTTGGTAATTGTATAGCAACATCGAGTGCAGGGACGCTGCGACATCCCACTTGTTCATCTTTATTAAGGTGGACCCTAGCCATTAAGCTACTTATAAGTTATAACCAATCATCACCAATGTTGTTTGAATATGTTGTTGCAGGCTCCAATGGTGGCCTCATGTGAAAGGCGTGATAACTATTCTGTTGTTAATACCTTATTTTGGTGCTGCGCCGTACATCTACAGGCTCTTAGTTAAATATTACTGTACGCGGAACATATTTGCATGGACGATGAACATCTTCAATCTGAAAATCACACAATTTGAACTGGGCGAGGATAGAAAAGAGCATTTAGAATTGGATGCGGACAGAAAAATATTTTTTGAATCGGTTGATGATAGTGAAAGAGTCGAGATCTCTGGTCAGACAATTATCACAAATCATTTACAAGAAAAGAAAGTCTTAATATATCAGGTATACTCCTAGTTCTTAAGTTTTTGCTTCATTTTAAAATTAGTATACTCAATGATATGATTTTCTTAAGAACTCTGTTTAACCACAAAAGACACTTTATACGAGACCGAGGGAGTAGATGTTATGGTAACCGTGCAAATTTGTATAGATGTTATGGTAACACTTCATAATAGGCTTGGGTTGACCTGATGGTGAAGACTTGGGTCTTGAGAGTGTGGTCCTCTCAAGATCTCATATTCGAATCGTGCTAGGTGCTATCAGTCATCGTGTCAGATAGGATATAAACCACAAGACTTGGGAATCAGGGTGTTACAAGAACTGCATTATACATTCCATCTAATTCATTTGTCTTCTTGTCCTAATAGATATGATATGATATATTTTTTTCTAAAAATTTGTTTGCATCAGGGAAGAGATGGTCTTGCTGGTTGTGAAAACACAAAAAGCGGTTGTACAAGTGAAAAGAAAGTCCAGAAGGAATGGAGCTGTGCTTTATGTCAAATTAGTACTACAAGTGAAAACTGCTTAAGGTCACATCTTCAAGGGAAGCAACACAAGACTAAGGAAAAAGAGCTTCGAGTCGGGTTACATGCAACAGATATACCGTTCGTGATATCCTTTAACCAGGAAAGAATCAAAGGAATGGTTCTGCTTAGGAATTTCAACAAAATCGCGAACATTCTGAATCCAGTTTCCAGATCCATAGTATGGTGTGAATGGAAAAAGCCGGAATTCGGATGGACAAAACTGAATACCGACGGTTCTGTAAATAGAGAAACCGCTGGTTTTGGTGGTCTGCTTCGTGATTACCGTGGCGAACCAATTTGTGCATTTGTCTCGAAAGCTCCTCAAGGAGATACTTTCTTGGTTGAACTTTGGGCTATATGGAGAGGCCTTGTTCTCTCCTTTGGTCTTGGGATTAAATCAATATGGGTGGAATCAGATTCTGCGAGTGTTGTTAATACAATCAATAGAATTCAACATTGTCCAAAGGCTGGAACCTGTTTGAAACAAATCTGGAAGCTTTTGAGTAAGTTTGACGAGTATCGGATTTCTCACTCGTGGCGTGAAACTAATAGAGCCGCAGATCATCTTGCAAAGATGGATCTTTGTGGAAATGATGTGGTTTTGTGGCCAGTTGATTTTTCAGATAGCCTTTGTAATATCATTCAAGAAGATGCCAGAGGAACAAAATATCTAAGACGGTGATTCGAAAGTCCGAGTTTTAAGTTGAGTTTGTGGTTGCTGTCTATATGGGTTGGTGCCTTGGTGGAGAAGGTAAGATTCAAATCGATGCTGGAGAAAACTGTAGGTAGAAATTGATAATATAGCTTGGAGTTAGTAGTCAAGCAGACACGTTCATTTCAAATTATTGTAGAAGTATAGCTTGCAATGTAATTATAGATGACATATGTGTTGAAACTTGATGCTTCTAAGTGTATCTTATTATGTTTCTAATTCTTCATGCTCAAGATACGAATTTTATCATTATGATTTAATGAGTAATTAATTAGTATAACAAGTCTTGTGTTTTTAAAGTTAACATTTTGTTTTGTTTTGTTTTAAGAGGTAAATATCTTTTTGCTTCTCTTAAATATCTCAATTTCGTTTTTAATTTTTTAAAATATTTCGTTTAAAGAATGGTTCTTTTAAAATTTTGCATTCACACTTTTGGTCCTTAATACTAAAACCATTACTAAAACTGTCGTTAATTGAGTCGCTAAGTAATAAATTATTGTTAAATTATAAAAACTCTTGCTAATTTGTAAGAGGAATCAAAAGTGTAGATAAAAAATTATAGGAAAATTATTCTTTAAAAAAATATTTTAAAGAATTAAAATTAAAAATTAAAATATTTATCATGACCACAAACATGTATATCCCTTATTTTAATATATAAGAGGACTATTGAGTTATTTTTTATACTAGTATTATATAAAATTATATTAATTTCAAATTTCAAATGTTATGCTTTCCTATTTTATTTTACTTTATATTGAATAGGCAATGTTAGTGGTTAGTTTGTTTGTAGAGAGAGAAAAGTTGAGAGGAGAAATAAAATCACATGAATTGCTAATCTTGTATAAAAAATCTGCAAATGTCTTTTTAGGTATTGAAGATTTATCTAGATTTACAAAAACACATCTCAATTAAGTTTCACTCTAAATTTTTTTTAAAAATTTATTTCAAAGATGCATTTTCGAATACATTCAAATAATCCATTCTTAATTAAATAACTCAGTGACTTTTTTCGGAGGTACATTTACAGAGTTATGAAGCAGAAATTTGTGCATTTTCGAAAACGTCGAACGTTATTCTTAATAAAACACAACCATGCATGGTCAAACTCCATTGCCAACTTTTCTCAAAATCTTGTAAAAAATCCTTTTATTCTCAATCAAAATTTTCACTCCAGAACTTCAGTCTTGTGTTTCATCACATCAAAAGGAGTAAAAGGAGTTGGAATTTAAGATAAAGATTATTTATTTCATTCTTCATTGCTCACATTAATCTTGTTTTTTTGTTGTTGTAAAAATAACGTTTTATACGGATATGCATCTCTGGATTCTAAACGAAAATGCACTTTCGGAATAAGTCTATCTTCATTTCATTCCATTTTTAAATATTTTGTGTTATTGTTTGCATTTAGATATGATGCACCCATATGTTTTTCCAAAACCTATTATGTCTACGTATGCTAAACGTGTTGATGCAAAAGAGGTAGATATTGGCAAACAATTTTTAAATGGACAAGAGTTTGAGTTTTGTGATCATATGCTTCAATGGATTCACACATAGGCATCTAAATTAGGATTTGATGTTGTAATCAGAATGTCAAATAATGGTTCGGATAGAAGATATCATTTGTGACAATGAGATGCGAAAGAAGTGGGATGTATAGAACTCATCTTCAAAAATTCAAACGAGATGACATCGGTTCGAGAAAATGTGTGTCCCTTTAAGTTGCGTGGTTATCTGTTGTCAAATAATAAATGGAAATTTAATGTCATTTATGATTTACATAACCAAGACATGTGTGCCAAGTTAGTCGGTCATCCAATTACATTTCGCCTTATGCTGGAAGAGAAGGAAATCGTTACAGACATGACATTGAATATGGTGCAGTCCAAAAACATACTTGCAAATTTAAAATGCAAAAGACTCCAAAACATCTCAAATATCAAATAAGTGTACAATATTCGTGTAAATAACAATAAGGTGTTAAAGGGGGATAAAATTGAAATGCAACAACTGTTAAAACTTGTGGATGATAACAATTATGTATCTAGGTATCACACGTGCGATGATGGAGTAACCGTTCAAGATATATTTTGAACTTATCTGGATTCGATAAAGTTGTTCAACATGTTTCCTGCTATGCTCATCATTGATTCAACGTATAAGACCAACAAGTATAAGCTTTTACTATTGGAAATCATTGGTTTTACCTCTACCGAGAAGACTTTTTCTGCTGGGCTTGCATTTCTCGAGAGTGAAAAAGAGAAAAATGTTCTTTGGCTTTATAAGTGTGTCAAATAGTGTTGAAGGACAAATAAGACATGCCTAAAGTTATTGTCACTGACCACGATACCACATTGATGAATTTGGTTTTAAAGGTCTTTCCTACATCTTACGCATTAATTTATAGGTATCACATCACAAAGAATGTGAAAAGTGTAATTTCATTCCTTATGGGATAGATGTCGAACACAACACTTCGACAACAGGTTCGACAAGATACACCAGAACCGCTAAAATAATAATTTCTAGATGATGGAGCAAAAAAACAATAATCAATTGTTTACCTAGTTCGGTGAAACTACACATACGTCTGGGGGTTGAGACCAAAAGCCAAGAAAGGAAAACCACGTATTAGTAGTTTAGTATAATTAGTCTTACAAGCAACAACAAACTCTTTGTTGTTCAATGTCTCTTCCTAACACTATACAATGACATTTTATTTAGAGCTTCCCTCTAAACACGAGAACCTATTCATTTTATTATCTACCACAAAACCAATGACAGGGGCAAACTGTAACACCCTAATTCCTGACTCGACATTTAATATAATAATTCAATATATAAGATATTACACATGCTTCACCAAAACATAATCTTCAACAAAACATAACGACTATTGTAGCGTATATTAACCTACCAACAATTAATAACATGCAAACAATACATCACCAATAACTAATTGTAGCGGGGAAATTTGTGAGTGTAAGCTATTGATTAACTTAACCCAAAAAAATAAGAGTCGCCACCGCACTTTTATTTTATCCAAAAAAGGAAAGGAAAAAGAGCGAACAAAACCAAAGAGTTCTAAAACAAGAACAAATAAACAGAGATCTGGGTAAGGGGGTTGGTTACGCAATGAAAAGGTGTTAGCATCCAAAACGTGTATAGTACTCTATAGGAGCCCTTTGAAATATTTAAGCTTTTTGGTTTGAAAAAGGTTTATTTTGAAAAGAAGATTGGGGAGATGAGAAGAGAATTATTTTTTAGATTTTTTTTGTGTTTGGAGAGACTTATCGCCTCATGACTACGTACCCATAAAATGCAATATAGGATCAAAACCTCGTAGTTCGTGGTACAAATAACAAAAATTTATTGGTTTTGATTGATTTTAAATTTAAAGACAAGTCGTCATTTTAAGGAGAAAACTACAACTAGTCGCCCACAAGTATAAGACAACATTCGAATCACCTAAAGATGGAGGATTTGCTTGGATTATCAACAAGTCTATCACTAAACATCAAAGTGGAAAATATAAAAATCTTAATACTATGGAGAATAGGAGAATTATATCTCAACTATGGAAATGACTCATGCCTAAACTTTATGAAAATTTTTAAAATGAAAAGTGCACAAAAGGCACAAAAGGAGTGATGAGTTTTTTTTTTGTATTTTTATGTCTTTTGAAATTGGTCAAAATATGATTAACATTGATTGACATTTATTAAGAAAAACAAAGTTTGAAAATCAACTTGACAAAAGTCAAGGTTTTATTGTGAAAGTGGTTTTGAAGTTCGAAAACAAGAAAGTTTTGAAAGAGGGAGAAGATTTTGAAAATTTAAGAAGGGGAGAAGATGAAGTGACTATCCTAGAAAGCAAAATAAAATTTAGAGATAAGAAGGATCTAACCAACTTGTAGCACACTCCAGCAATCTAAAAGAACTCCATCCGTCTTGAAGCATAAGTAAATGAGCAAGCCAAATAAAGGCAAAGATCCATAATACTCCAAGCATAGAGAAAGATTCATAATTCTAAGTCCAAGGGTCAAATAATAGTCCAAGAGCATGGCCAAAAAGTTAAGAGCACCAACTTTTTAGAGGTTTAATCCTTTATTAGTGTTTTGAACAAGATATGGTCCAAGTGGACAAAAGAAAAATGGTGGAAACATAAACATGTGTCCAACAGACAAAGGAAAAATGACAGAAGCATAAACAAAAGTATGATATGAGATGATAATAATGAAGCATAAAGATAAAAGAGAGATAGAGAGAAATAAGGAAACATAAACAAAATTAAAACAAAGATATTGTTAGTGAGTTAGTAGTTAGTCGTTAGAGAAAAGGATCAACGACGGTTAATTCTTGCACTTAAGCCAAAGTTGATGAAAACTTATTAGAGGACTGATAAGACCAAAACCTCCTAACAACAAGCTTCATAGATGATGGACTTAAGACAAGCAATCAACCATACTTGGACTTTCAAACATAGGTTTGAGCCACGAATGACCACTTTCCGATTACGGGACAATTTAGCACTATGTTAAACAATCGTAATCGGGTTTATTTAGAAACCATGACTATCTAAGGCCGGTCAATAACAATGTTAGTGCTAATGCATGCTAGAGAAGTGATATGTAGATCACTTTCCGAAAGCAATGCCGCACGAAAAGAAAATAGGTAATGATCTCATCTTCATGAAGAACGTAAAATAAGTTCAAAAGATATCGAAGATTTTCATCGATCAAAAGAAAAAGAAAAGAGGAGAGGGAATGCCAAATTGAATTACAAGTTCAAGATCATTCCATCTTTAAGTTCGTCCACTCATCTTGGTGGTTTAAAGCACTAAACATATCATTAACTCAAAGCACCTAAAATAAATTGAACAGTTCACTTTAAAGATAGATTTAAATTGATGAATGTTTATCCAACTTCATCTACACCCCAAGTCCAATGAATTTAAAGAGGAAAATG